GCATTCAGTCGTATCTCTTCTTTCTTTTGTTGGCGTTGCAGCGTCATTAACGGCTTTGCTGTCCCCCTGAAGGCTGAGCATAAACTCTTTCTTGAGCGTGTATTGTTGCCGCTTCATAAGGCTCGCTCTCTTGCTGCCTTCCATAAACAACTCACCTACTGCATGGAACAGTACGTCGATATAGTATATCACTGCTGCTGCTGCCGTCACTGTCGCTGGGGCGTTTTGTGGTGTACCCCGTGGTGTTGTTTTTCTTGCTCTATTCAGTTATTGGCCTGTAAGGACTAGGGTGTAGGGTTTAGGGTGTAGGGTTTAGGGTGTGGGGTTTAGGGTTTAGGGTTTCTGTCTCAGATACGTCGCGAAGGAGAGCCGCGTTGCTGTGCCCATCATCCTGGGTATGGTCCGTTTCTGGCCAGCCTGCAACGCCCCCAAGGTGGTATTATTTTTGAATGAATTGGAGCACGTAAGGATTTCATCATTGCTGTTATGATATATATATATATATATATATATATATATATATATATATATATATATATATATATATATATATATATATGCTACATATACTATATAATAACAATAATTATTTCTATGATTATTACTGTGGTTATGACCATTACTATTATGATGACTGTACTCGTTACTGCTATTCGTATTATTATTGATTTCTTTAACTGCTTCATTATAAGCAGCCTATAGAACACAAAAACTGTACTCCTCAGCCATTCTCCCAGCTGCAGTAGCAGCTGCTGCGAGAGCACTTCTCCATTCTTTGCCCTTTGCACCAGCGGCAGCAGCTGCTGCAGCTGCAGCATAGTATGCGTGAATGCGCGCGCTGTTAAGCTGTTGTTCTTCGTCTTGCTGCTGCTGCTGCTGCTGCTGCTGCTGCTGGGTGCAGGTGCTGCAGGAGACGCAGCTGCCGGAGTTCCAGGAGGTGATGCTGCCGCTGTTTACACGGCTAGCTGAATGCATTCAATCCCCCAACTTTTTGGTGGCTGAGAGGGTCCTCTTCCTGTGGAACAACGAAAAGATCGTCAGGCTTATCAACCTCAACAGGCCGGTTAGCATCAAACCCTAAACCCGAATCAACATTCACAAACCTTAGTAAACCCCAAACCCTAGGCAACAGCAACGAGCCCTAATAAACCCTAAACCCTAATCAACGATAATAAAACGAATACACCCTAAACATCAATCGAGAGCAATAACCCCAAACGAACCGTAGTAAACCCTGTTACACCCTAAAATCTAGTAAACCATGAGCTCTAATAAAAAATAATAAACAGCAATAAGCCCTAATAGACAGTGGCACACCTTAATAAACCTTAATAGACCGTAGACCATAATAAACAATAATAGAATCTAATAAAACCTAATAAACCATAAGCCCGAATAGAGTGTTAACCCTCACAAACAAATATACGAAATAATAATACGTAAAATAAACCTTCTTGAGCCTTTGTCATTCGACTAGCAAAATACAACCCAACGACTGAGGCTAGAGCGAATGCGCACTGGGGGGCTATTCGCTGCTGCAGTTGTTGCACACAGACATGGTCGTGCTGCAGCTGCTGCAGTTCGTGCAGCTGCTGCAACAATGGCAAACAGTAGCGGAAAGTAGTAGAGAGACTAGATGATGAGGAAGAGTAGAACAGGGACACAAACTTTGTTTGGGGGCGGCTTCCTCTCCTGTTGCTGCTGGTCTTCCCACTGCTGCCGTTGCTGCTGCTGCTGTGCCTGCTGCTACTGCTGCAGGAGTTGTTTCCCATCATAATAGGGGCATTGTTTCGTAGCTCACAGCAGCACTGGAGCGTTACTGTGCACACGCTAACGTACAACGTCTCCAAGCTGCTGGCCCAAGCGGACACAGCCCTCTTTGATGAATGTAGCAGCAGATTTGTCGCTGAAGAGAAACGGTACGCAGCTGTAAACCCTTAACCGTATATCCTTAAACCCTGAGGCAGAAACCTGTGCATTTTGCTCTACTTCAGGTTTTCACTAGTTGTATTTATATCTCTGTTTGCCTTTGGGAAGCGTTGCAGTCTTAGCGTGAGCGCTGCATGCATGCATACATGCATGCATGTTTGCACGTATGAATGAATGTATCAGCATTAGGCGGGGGCATTGCCACGGCCTGTGCTGCTTCTACTGTTGCTGCACATACGAAGGGATGTTTTAGGGCGGCTTTGCGGGTACATTGATGATGGTTTCGTCGCTGTTGTTGCTTTTGCTGTTGCTACTGCTGCAGGCGGAAGGAGCAGGAAGAGGAGAGGGCTCAGCGCTGGGCAGAGCTCGAGGCCGAGGCAGCAGCAAAGGGGAGCTGGAGGGCTGCTGCTGAGGGGGAGGACCAGAAGACAGTCCCTGCCCACTGACCGCTACGAGGGGGCGCACCAACCGTTTACACCTGTCACCACAGTCGTGGGGGGCCCCCGGGGACCCAAGGGGTCCCCAGAGGTGCAGCGTTGCGCTCTATAGAGCCCGGCAGACTCCCATCGTTAAAGGGATGCGCGAAGGCTCAGCTGGTGTTAGTGAGCTTTCGGGCTCCTTGTGTAGCCTATAGGGGCCCCCCCTAAAGGGGCCCCCCTTTAGGGCCCCGCTTTAGGGGGTCCCCCCATGAGCCTGTTGGGACACCGCCCTGGGGGCTGTGGAACCCAAGGTAATGAATAATGCCCCTTGGGGGCCCCCACACCCTGCGGTCCACATTGCAGTTGGGCCCCCGGGAGCGCCGCCTTACCTGTTGGGGCCTGCTAGAGTGCGAGGCCTACGCTGTAGGGGGGGCCCTGGAGCCATATATACAGTAGGCTTTGGGGGCCCCTCGAACGCCGTGTTGTGTGTGTTTGTGTTTGTGTGCTTGGGCCCCTTTGTTCGGTTGCGGTTCGGGTTTAGGGTGTGTGTCTGTCACTTCGCTGTTCATTGTCGATGCTTCTTTGTGGGTATGTTACTCCTTTTGGGGTGTACGTGGAGCACATGGCGCTCCCCTTCTGTTCTCCGGTGCGGGTCCACAGAATAACGAAACTCGCAAAAGGGAACAAAGTGCAGCGGCGCGCTCGCGAGGTGCTGCGCCCCTTAGGGCTGCCTCTCGCAGAGCTGTGTACGTACACCTCATCAACGAAACGCACGATACTGCTAAGCAGATTTTCTTAATGTTTGTATCTATGGAACGGATCGGAGTGGAAGCAACAGATACGGAGGTGTCTGTGCACCGCAATGCGAGGGAAATGCCAGTCCATATACCCCACCCTCGGCAGTCGTGCAGCTGCAGAAGCAGTAGCTGCACAGACAGCAGATGCTGTCATCAGAAAACACAGCAGTGCGCATGCAGAATGGCGGGAGCAGCAAACGGGCGAATTGCCCCCATAGAAAAAACTTTTCAGCACCCAACGGCGCCGCGCCGCCTCCTTGCAGCAGAGCGGCTGGAGCATTACAGCAATGTACTAGCACCGCAGCAGGGCTGCGAGCAAGTGTATGCGCACCCCCAAACCAAAACAGAAGAAGTGGCGTTAAGACCACCCTCGACCCTGGCTATATGCTACTCTCCCCTAGGCTCTGATGAAGCGCCAGGGGGCCCAGCACAGAGGCCCCCCACCTGCAGCGGCAGCTACAGTAGCGGGGGCAAAGCCAGAGGGGGCCCCGCTGCAGCATCGGGATTTGGCGTTTCAACGTGCCTCTAGAAGGAGCTGAACAGTGTTCAGTGTCAGTGTTTTCTGCTGCCTCAGCTCAGTGTACAGGTTCCTACAGCAGTTGCTTGGTGAGAAGTGTGAGTGTGAAGGGGTGTGGCATTATTACTATTATTATTTGCTTGGCTGCTGCTGCGCTTGGAGTGTCAGTCCTTTAACAATTCAGCAGTTGAAAAGCGCGTCTGCTGCAGCTCGAGCTGCTGCTGCAGCAGCCGCAGCAAACGACACCGCTGCTGTAGCCTAAAACCCCTTGCCAACTGCTCTTCCGCCTCATAGTCTTCACTCTCGTGCTCCTTCCGCTGCTGCCTGTTGTCCTCCCGCCGCCCCCTCCTCTGGGTGAAGTCTTTGCTCCGTGCAGCAGTTTCTGCAGTTGTTGCTGTACCAGCATTAGCAGCCACAGGTACAGTAGCTGCTGCAGCTGCAGCAGCAAGCGGGGTTCCCTGCTGCATGCGCCCATGACGGCTGCTGCTGCCTGTTGCTTCACGTCCTCTCGCAGCATTTGAGCTGCCTCGCTGGCAGTCTGGTCTCTTCTCTCCTCTCGGCGATGCCCCTTTGCTGCCGCTGCTGCTGCTTCTGCTGCTGCTGCGCATATTATGTTTGTGGCTCGTTCTGCCTCCGGCGTGTCTGTACCTTCTCCCCATTTTCTCTTTTTTCGCATTTGAGTATGCAGTTTGACCCTCATCGGCGCCCCTTCGTTCTCTTAGCTTGCTGCGGCAGCTGCTCCTGCTGCTGCTGCTGCTGCTGTAGTGTCTGCGAGTTTGTCTCCCGCGTCGGCACTCCTTAGAAGGACGCTGAACTGCTGTTCGCAGCATTTCCAGCAAATGCTTCCCCAAGGCTTCTTCTGGGTGCTGCACTGGCCGCTGCTGCTGCTGCTGCTCTGCTGCTGCTGCTCCAACGGTTGGTGGTGAGGTAACTCGCATTGCAGCAGGAATGTCAGCACTTGGATGCTGTTGCTCCCGCTGCAGCAGCTGCAGATAAGCTGCATGTGGATGCTGTGCTGGCTCACGCTGCTGCTGTTGCTGTAACTGTTTATGATGAAGCAGCAGCAACTGCCGCTGCAGACAGCCCACACATGCCACGGGTGCAGCAGCAGACACCGACGGGCCAGCGACGGGAATCCGCAAACAACAGCAGCTACTGCTGTTGCTGGTGCTGCATAAGGTTGGCAGTTGCTGCAGCACACATTCCTGTGGAGGGAGACGCATCAGCTGCGGCAGTTCGCATGCAGAGGACGCTTCTGCTGCTACTATGGGTATCCCTGCTACTGCTGTTAGCGGTAGGCCTGCTGCTGTTGCTGCTGCAGTAGTGTTCGCGATCACTTGGCTGTTGGTGAGCCCGTCCATGCGGTCAGCAGCGAATGAAGCAGCGGGGGCAGCTACTGCAGCAGCAGGGGCAGCTATTGCAGCAGCAGGAGCAGCTACTGCAGCAGCAGGGGCGGCTACTGCAGCAGCAGGAGCAGGTCCTGCAGCAGCAGGAGCACCTGCAGCATCAGGAGCAGCTGATGCAGCAGCAGGAGCACCTACTGCAGCGTCAGGAGCAGCTACTGCAGCACCAGGAGCAGCTACTGCAACAGCAGCAACGGCTGCTGTAGCAGCAGGTGCAGTTACTGTAGCTGCAGATGCAGCTGCTGTAGCAGAAGGATCGGCTCCTGCTGCAGCAGGTGGAGCAGCTACTGCAGCAGTTGGAGCAGTTACTGCAGCAGCAGTAGCCACTGCAGCCGCAGGAGCAGCTAATGTTGCAGCAGGGGCAGCTACTGCTGCAGCAGGATGAGCTACCCCAGAAGCCTCTGCAACAAACGGAGCAACTCGCGGTGCAGCAGAATCTGCCACGCCAGAGACGGGATAAACTGGGACAGCTGCAGCAGCTTCAGCCACAGTAGCATCTATGAGTTCAGCTGCTCGAGAATTGAGTGCAGTCGGCGGTGCTGTTGTTGTTGCTGCTGCTGCTGCAGGGGCTGCCACTGCAGCAGCACTGTCAGCAGAGTCAGCTGCAGCTGCTGCCGCCAGCTGAGACTGCTGTATTTCTGCAGCGCAGGTTAGAAGAGCCTCAGCAGTATCTGCTGCAGCGGGCCCCATAGCAGCGCATGGATCTGCAGTGGTTGGTGCTGCTATATGTATATCACCGCTCCCAGAAGCATCAAAGGCTGCTGCTGCTGATCCTGCTGCTGCTGCTGCTCCTACTGGCAGCTCAAGAACCGCAGCGGCGTCTGTTGATTCGAAAAGAGATGAATCTTCTGCGTTGGCGCTGCTTACTGCTGCCGGTGCTGCAGACTCTGGCGGTTTACTTGGTTCCGGTATCATCTTTGCTGCTGGGGGTGCTTCAGCTGATCCTACTGCTGCAGCTGACGCACTCGCTGCAACAGCTAACGCAGCAGCCTCGTCGAACTCATCTGTTACTGCAAGGTGTCCTAATGTGGCCGCCGCTCGCTGTGATGCTGATTCTGTTAATTGAGATAGTTCGTCTGCTGATAGAGCGTTGACCCGTTCCTGTGTAGAAGCTTGCAAATCATCACGCCGCTTCTCCGGCTGCTCTTGCTGTTGCGGCGACTGCTTCAGTTGCTGTGGCTGCTGCTGCTGCTGCTGCTGCCCCTGGAGCTGCTGGTCCTGCTGCTGGTGGTCCTGCTGCTGTTCCCGCTGCCGCTGCTCGTGATGCGAAGTACCTGCTGCTGCAGCGCAGTACTCTGCAGCTTCGATATGAGCTGCTTTCTCTGCGGCAGCTGCAACCATCTGTTGCTGCTTCTGCAGCTGCTGAGCCTGCTGCTGCTCTTCATTCTCCTGTGTGCGAGTCCGCATAGCTGGCTCATCCTCACTGTCCCCACAACTCCCGCCAGGGCTGAGGTGTCTCGTCCCCTGCTGCTGCTGATGGTGATTTTGTCCTTCCCGCGGGTTTTGCTGCTGCTGGGTCGCCCGGCTTTGCTGCCCATGCTGCGGTGCCCCGGCCCCTTCCTCAGGCTGTTGCTGTCTGCGCTGCACGAGGGCTTGCTGCAGCGTTGGATGAGAGCTTTTGCTTCGATACCTTTGGTGTGGCTGCTGCTGCTGTGCCAGCTCCTGCTGCCGCCGGGCTTGGCGTGCCAGTTCATCTGCGTAGTCAGTGTCCCTTAGCTGCGGCTGCTGATGCTGCTGCTCCTGCTGTTGCGCTTCCTTCGGTGGTTCTGTCTCCAACACCCGTAGGCTATCTCTGCTGAGACGCCGGCGTTGCTGCTGCAGCTGCTGTTGCTGCGGCTGCTGCGGGGGCGAGGCTTCAAGGGCAGACTCTGAAGGAGACAACGGGTAGCACGACGAGTCGGGGGACAGGCGAAAAAGGAGGCTGTCATTCAATGGCGATATATCTGCTGCTGTTGGTGCTCCTGCTGTTGCTGCTCCGTCTTTCACAGCATCCACAGCTTGAGAGCAATCGCCAGCAAACTGGGAGAAGGGAGTTCCGCAGAAATCGGCTTCTGCTGGCATTTTCCTTTCAGGCTGATGCTGCTGCAGCTGCTGCTGGGTAAGCTGCTGCTGCTGCTGCTGCTGTTGGTTCGAATGTGACTCGCCCTCCTGCGAGAGCTCAAGGGCACTAAGGGTGAGACTTTCCGGACACCGACCGCCAGGTACCCACGGGATGTGCCCTTGGCCAACGGTATGCTGCTGCTGGTGCTGTTGCTCCTGCTCTCTTTGCTGCTGCTGCTGCTTGCTGTCTGCGTTGCCACAAAATGAAGAGGTGCTATCGGCGCCTTGTGTCTCGTCCAGCAGTCGGTCTGAACCGCGAGACAAAGAATGTGGATGGCGGCCCGCTGCACCCCGCCCTTGCCGTTTGCACGAGCAGCGGCGATCCCAGCAGCAGCAGCGGCACCTGCTTCTGCTGCTGCAGTTGCTGCCGCTGCTGCTGCTGCGGCTGCTGACGAGCCCTAGGCGCCGCTTGATGCGGGCTATGACCTCCTCTGGCTTTGAGTTCAGAATAAACTCCTCTTCGCCACCTGCTAACGCAGGAGCCTCCCTTCCGTTCCGTTGTCTAGTTGCTCCTGCTTCTGCTGCTGTCGGTGCTGCTGCTGGTGGTCCCGTGACACTGCTGAAGATAGAAGTCCCCAGAGCGACGCCGGCAAGAGAACCCATGAGTTGCTGAGGGTCTGCAAGCCCCTTGGGCTCGTCATCCAGCAGAAACTGCAGCAGCAACACAGCAGCAGCACAGCAGCAGAAATACGTCAGCAGCAGAGCAGCAGCACGGCAGCAGAGCTGCACAAACTTGCTGCTCCCGAGGGTCTTGTTACCTCTCTGGTTCTACTCATCAGCCTTTACTTGTTAATAAATTATTAACAAAAATATTAGAGAAGCTATTAAAAGACATGCACACAAAGGGGAAGTGCCGGTTACCGCAGAAGAGAAGTTCAACCATTGGCTTATCAAGGATTCTGGCTTGCTGCTGCCGCTGCTCCTGCAGGATAGCAACAGTTCTTTATTCAGTTCTTTCTTCTGCACCGACGCTCTTCGGGCCTGCAGCAACAGTAACGGAACACGACAGCAGCAGCAACATGATGCATGCGACACAGAAACTCCCTTACAAGGTATAGACACACGCGTCTGCTGCTGTTTCTGCTGCTGCAGATGCTGCTGCTGCTGCATGAAAGACATGCATGTGCCCTGGGCGACATGAGGCGGTTGAGGGAAGCAGAGGGCACCTTGTCACTGCTCAGCTTCGTCCGATCCCTTCTGCTGCTGCTGCTGTGGACATCGTTGCTGCTGCTTCTGCTGCTGCTTTTCTTCTTGCGGCTGCGCCGTTTGCTACGCCCTGGCCGTTCCCCGTGGCGATGCCTGCTTTTGTTTACCCGTCGGGTCCTGTTGCTACTGCCGCTGCTGTATCTGCTGCTGCTGCTGCTGGAGCTGCTGCTGCTGTTCTTTTTCAAGTGTTTTCTGCGGCTGCTATGTCTGCTGCGGCGGTGCAATCGCTGGGACGTGCTGCTGCTACGCGTTGTCCTGTGAAGCGGTTGCCAGCGCCAAGGGTTGCTGCTGCTGGCATCGCTGCTAGTGCTGCTGCTGCTGCTGTTCATTTCTTCTGCCACGCGTCTTCGCACGCGAGAAAGGATTCTGCTGACGATGTGCTGGGGAGTGTCGCTATCAAGGATGCTGCTATGTGGGTCAATCGGGCTGCTGCTGTTGCTGCTTTCTAGCTTCTGCGGTGTTGTTGCAGCAGCTACTGGTGCTGCTACAGCTGCTTCTGCTGGTCTAGCTCTTGCTGCTGCTGCTGCTGCTGCTCGTAGAGCTTCTCTAGCCGACAACATCCTGCTTGCGGCTGCTGAGACGCGTGCCGCTGCCCGAGCATCGTTCCGGGTGCTGCTCTTGAGTGCGGCCGGATCTGCTGCAGGTGAAGGACCCACTGCTGCTCCTGCTGCTTCTGCTGCAGCTGCTTCTCCTCCGGCTGCTGGGGCTGGGCCTGGTGCAGTGGCTGCCGCTGTCGCTGCTGCGTCACGCGAAGGCAGTGCTCGTCTACCCTCTATTGCGAGTGTCACCTGTACGCCGCCTGCGTCTTGGCTTTTATGTGTACGTGGCTGCTTTAGCACCAGCTGCGGCTGCTGTTGAGTTTGCTGCTGCTGCTGCTGCTGCTGCTTCTGCTGCCTTGAAGCATGCCTGCGCTGTCGCTGCGCAAATTCGTTGCGGGCCTCAACTCGCCGCGCTATCGCTGTCTGTGCTGCAGCAGCAGCATCGTTGCTGCCGCTGCTTCGCTTCTGAGGTGTCCCCCGCTGCATGCGAGCAGTCAAAAGCGCGCCGCTGCAGGAGCTGCTGCTGCTGCTGACTCCGTGGGGGGGAGCTCCTGAGTGTGCAGCGGCAGGCAGAACGTACACCGAGTGGCCGTGTGCGTTCATCTTCTGCTGTCGCTGTTGCTTCTGCTGCTGTAGCTTCTAACGTGATCCTGCTGACGCGATGATGGCGTGCAGCGCATCCTACTGCATTCCATGCTGCCTGTTAGCTGTTGCTTCCGCTGATGCTGATGCTGCTGCTGCTGCTGCTGCTACCGCTGCGGCTGCTGTTTCCGGAGGTGTCATCAGCAGCGTTTTTCGTTTAGAGGAATTCTGCGCTGAACGTGCTGCTGCTTGTGGCTGAGCCTTCAGATTATCGGGTTTTCAAGCCGCTTGCAAACCAGCAGGAACACGACTCACAGCTGGAGCTAAGTTCACAGCAGCACAGGAGCTGATGCGATTCAGTTGCAGGAGCAGGAGAGGGACAGCGCCTAATCATTCTATGGTGAGGTATGGAGGTGTACAGGCAATTAAGGAGGAATTACGCACATGATGGCGCGCTGCCTCAGATGAGCAGACAGGGGCCTTGAGGCCTTCTGAGGAGCTGCAGCCCTCAAGGAGTTTCTACCTGCTCTTAATACAGCCACCCCCCAGGCAGCTGAGCGCCTGCTGCGGGCTTCGGGGCCCCCTGGGGCTCCCGGGGGCCTCGGAAGGGATGGTGGGGCCCTCAAGCGGCAGCAGCACGGGACCAGGTGGTGGGGTCGGTGGGAGTCTGTAGGTATATGCAGTCGTTAGGCATTCAAAATATGGAGCCCGGCTGCACTTGGATGTATTATAAAGACAAAAATGCGGTAAATAAACAGAAAAAATCGAAAATATTTCCAATTAAAGCGGACAGCTGGAGGGAAGTACCAGAGGGTCCCCTAGATTACATGCGAAAGCTGCAGCCGACACGGAGCAGCTACAGTGCAATAAAAAGAGCAGTACGTTAGAAAGCAACATAAATAGGAACAATTTGGTTTAAAACCAACAAGAGGAGATACTCATTAATCGTCAAGCAGACGAAGAAGTGGTAACTCCCGAGGAACCACCCAGGCTGCACTGAAGAGGAAATATCGTTCTTTGTCAGTATTACGTACAAACAGAAAGTGGGAAAGCGGGGCTTCATTTTCATAGCAAAATCCTACATGCCTAAAACCTGTTATCCAAATTAAAGGGCCTAGTCTACGGCCATAGGCATGAGTATCATATACTGCCCGGGGCCGGTTTGACAGCCAGCCAATAGGTATTGCTACAAATTTGTCGCCGTACAACATAATTACTATATAACTTAGCTATTTGTATCAGTATACGAATCACCAACGCGCAAGACAGCAACATACATCAAGACAGCGATCCTTAAAGGAAATAACGGGAGTTGTTAATTAAACATCAGACACACACTGAAGGAAGGCCCCTAGCGTACACATCGTAGCACTGTATAAAGTAATAACTAGATAAGTGGGATATTGAGCTTTTCAGGTGCGTGTTTGCACGGGAAGTGAAATGGGCTGCGAGAAGCCCAGTTGCACGCTAAAGCTTGCGGAGTTTTGCAATACAAAGCGGACTCATGGCTCCTAACAGCTATTTAATACATGAGGGAATTCAGGTTCATCTATATCTAGTAATTTAGCCATCTTTTCTTGTTTAAAGAGGCAATTACATTAGGAGCTAGTACTTCTTTTGCTGGGAAAGCATGCAATAACGGATCCCGCTGCTGGCAGCACTTTGCGTACATTGGTCATTCTAGGCGCTGTCCTTCAGTTCCAACAACCGGATTGGGCACTGCTGAATCAGATGTAACCTCATATATGCCCTTGAATGGCATGGGTCTGCCTTCGCTGTTTGGGCCCCCTTTCATTCTGCTGCGCTCACCTAACACAGCGCCTCTGCTTGCCATCAGCCCCCAGGGGCTGGGGGTAGAATGAGTGTACCGGGGTGCACCGCAGTTCAGTGGAGCCAGCTGCTGACCGCAGTGGAGGGGGGCGGTGTAATTGCCTGCAGCGCTCCCCAGCTAGCGAGTCACAACTCGGTTATCTTTTCTAGGGTTTAGGGTGTAGGGATACGATAAATTTGCCTAGGCACGGTCCATCATGGTCTATCCGAGCTCTTCGAAAACATTTTCTTCGATAACTTCCATTGGTCGTCGGTCCATTGCACGCTGTATTTGTATTGTTACTTATTACAGATAAGGATTTGAAAAAGTGTCGGAATGTTTAAGACTCTAATTCTTTTACTCCATGGGCGGAGTTATGACGCAACAAAGAGGACAAGCGTCAGACTGCAACCGTGAAAGGCGTGAAGCGTGGGTTGGTACCTCTGGTGGAGTGACGGGGGTCTGCTGTCTTATCCCGTAAATCTCGCGAGCTCGAATGCTGCCATACTTCTTTGGCAAAATATTCTCACGAAACAGCAAATATCTATTATCTGCGGTTAAGGGCACATATGCGGCCCCCCCAACTGCGCTTTCTTCACGACAGAAAATACCGCATGGGAAAGTTCGCTAGCCAGGACAGGATGCATGCACCAACACAGTAGTCAAGGGTTAAAATGCTTGCTAGTCGCTTGGTGGCCTACATACACACATAAAAGTGTGTCTACACGTACGAGGAACTGTACTGCACTTGTCATTTCCCTTATGGCGCAACCGCCCCTTCATAACCCCCAGGTAAGTACAGAGACTGCAGCGTTGCTGAGCTGTGCTCTAGCTGGAGACCATTTGATGCAACATCTAGGCTCATTTTTAGGGGGGCCAGAAGCAGGGAAAAGAAGAGCCTTCGCTCCTCTACAGCGGACTCCGCCAATCTCCCACCTTCGGTAGCTGCCATCGCAGAGTTTTGTTTTAATTAAACTGGCGGATTTCTCCTGTCCACCTCAGTGCAGCAGCAGTCGCGGCGACGGTGAGTTGGAAGAGCACTGTGGCCCGTTTAAAGCTCCACCAGCTTCTGTCTTCTGTGTTGTCGCTGTAGAGAGAACTCCTAGTAGATCGACACTACATCCGACAGAATAGAGGCGCCTTACCTGACTAACACTAATCTGAATTGTAAATAGTTTAGGAGCGCGTTACTATTAGCAGTACACATTGTGTTCATGAATGATGTTCGATGCAAGTTCTGAGAGGTAGAAAGGCCCGGAGCGCACAACTACATCTCTGTAAGTGCTGAACTCACTGTTGCTCCAAGCCCTGATCCCACGGCCTACGACCCCGAACTACCCCACCCCCGTGAAAAAATCCTTTCCCATCACAACAAACCGAGCAAAAGAAGAATTAAATTCTTACGTTCGTTAAAACGTTTAGGTCTTTTGACCTGAAATGCATCTTATTTGATCGGCGCAGGTCCGCACCAGAGCTGCCTTAATAAAACAAATGGTTTTCGGTTGCATATCTTCTAATACATTGCATACCGTTATCTTTGAGCTAGTAAACTTTGTTTACTGCGTATGAGGGTAGCTCAGCTCATGGTGCCCGTTTTTTCAAGCTGTATTTCGCCGGCACGGGCTTGGATCGTCCGGCCAGAAAGCCAGCTTCTACAGGACCTCCGGGGCCCCTTTAGGTTGGGCTTGATAAAACTCATTTAATGCTTCCTAAGGCTGGAGCAATTTAGTCTAGCTGGCTCAGCCGACACTTTCAAGTGTGAATTAGCGAGAAAAACCCGGTGTGAAGTAAGGAGATATGCTTCCATCACGGGTGTGTAAAAAATATATATAAAACAGCGCAGGCCTGCGACGAGCCAACACGGACGCACTTACTGCATCGCAGTCGCAGTCTAGCTGGTAAAGTGCATGTTGACCGATTCTGAAAACGCCCCACATGCCCTATAATTGACCTCCGGATGTTTTGATCTTGCTGGCATCACGGGAATTAAATGCTTTCGTGCAGGCATAACTTGTAGGCGAGGAAAGTAACTTACAACCACGCTAACCGCTGGGGAGAAGTTTTCGCACGCATCGGAACTGCGCATGCGTCTACCCCTGCCTCTGGGGTCGTCTCTCATCTCATAAATCGCGTCTTCCGCTACGCTTCGCACCCTTCGTATTTCCGAACTGTGCAATATGCTACGGAAGGGGCGGAGGCGAAAACGCACGTGATGAGAAACAGTTCACTCGCGGTTGTACACACATGTACTCATTTATATTGTCGCCTTCCTAGTATGGCATCCTACGATATGGTGCCTTTGCAATAGAATTCAACAGGAGCGTTTAGGGCATTTACTCTCGGTCAGCTGTTAGCCGGTAAAACCCTGATGGTACCAGTGGCCCGATGGAGCCGTCCCAAGCTCCGCACTAAATCACAAGGGGACCCTGCTAAAGATCCGGCGCGTCCTTAGTTTGGCATGCAATGGCAGTCTGCCACATTTCACCAAGTTAAGCATCTCGCAAAAAAGTATTTTGCTATTTAACTCACTCCCCGTATCACTGATGATGAGCGAGGCACTGCCCGTGCGGCTGCAGCGCACTTATCACTGCAGAAAGGGAGTCGCCCACGGAGCTGCATCATACTTGCCTGAAATTGCTCATCACGAATTTTCCCCTGGTATTCGTCCCCCAAAACTAGCCAATGCTATTGCAAGAAGCCCCACGAGCATCCGTAATGTTCATTTGGCCGATCATCAGATGTTCGGATATAAATGGCGTGTGCTTGTTGCAAACGCCTAGAAAACAAGCCTGGGGGAGAAACGTCTCAGTTTCTGTATCGCCAACGGAAGAGGTCTGATATATTCGCAAACATACATCCTGGGCGGTGGTATATTAAGGGAGAGACGCGTCGGAACCAATGTGAAAGAAGCCTTGCTCAATGATATGCTTGCATATAGTACACCACAAAGGCCAACTGCTACTCAGCCCGCCCTGTACTTCGTCAGCGTCAGGAAATTGTCTTTCTAGAAGACAAGCGAGTCTCCGTTTCGCTCGGTTAGCCCATCCGAACACGTTTGGCTGCATAAAGGGCTGACTACAGAAGCCGCCGTTCC